ACACATACACGAACATACGCACTGGCCTAGCCATGCGATAGTGTTGTGCTTGTGCGAGGGGCCTACGCTGGTGCCTAGGCACCCAAGCATGCATGCTGCGGTGCTGTGCCATGTGAAGGCACGCACATACGCAGGCTTGCTGCTGCGATGGGCTGCCTTGTGCGCCTAGCACTCTTGGCTCGCCTAGCACACCATGGTGCGCCTAGGCTTGCGATGAGCTAGCCTAGCCTAGCACTTCACATGGCTAGGCCAATGTGATGCTACGGCTATGCTCGTACTTGTTGCTTGTGATTTTGCGACACTTGGCCTCGACCCCCTAGGCTCGATATCTGACGTCTGTGTTCGTAAAACTCCGACGACTCATTAAATCCTCGGATTAATTCGTCGTCTCGGATCGGTTGTTCGATTGGGTTCGACCCAAAGGGTTCAGTTAAGGTTAAGCTGTAATATTAGTTATACCTTAATATTACTGATCGGAAGCGGCCTCCGCCTAGGCATTCCGATCACTTGACCTTTCTGAAGAATTAGCTCTGTAATAATTTTGAACCCTCTATCAGAATAATACACTTGTTGGAAGGACAACATTCCTTTCAACCTACCGATTCAGATCGTGACGAAGATGATGACGATGGAGATTGCTGCAAGCCTACAATGGTGACGAAGTGGAGATTGCCTAAAATAGAAGGACAAAAAAGTTTAATGATTGAAGTAAAGTGAGGTAACAAAGAAAATTAACTTATAAGCAAAGAAAAAAAGAGGAGTTGAGAAAATTTTAAGATGAGAAGATAACAGGGAAGAGAGAAAATTAATAGATGAAAGAAAGAAGAAGAGAGAGCGTTAAGATATAAGGAAAGAAAAAAAAAACGTATATTCATTTTAAAGCACTGTATGTTCATATATATGGCTAGCTGCGCCAGTGTGTAGCTAAGAATTTGCGAATAACATCTATTCGGCTTATTGGGCTTGAGAACCCATTTGGAAAATAAGGCCCAAAATGAACAACCTCTTTGGCACCCAAACACTATGTTTAAGCAAATTTCTGTGATTAAAAATTGTTAATCAAATACATGTTAAGCATATAAGGTTTAACATTCATAATTCACAACAAAGCCTTTCTCTTTTATTAAGAATAATAATGCCCTGTTCATTTTACATTGTTTATCTTGACATTATTTTTGCTGAATTGAAATTATTTTTGTTGAACTTAAATTATTTTTATACAACTGAAATTTATTTTAATTGAACTGAAATTATTTTTACTAATTTGATATTATTTTTTACTGATTTTCTATTATATTTCTTCTTTTAAGGTACTGATTTTTATTGAACTGAAATTATTTTTACTGAACTGAAATTAATTTTATTGAATTGAACTTATTTTTACTGAAGTGGAATTATTTTTACTAAATTGCAATTATTTTTACTGAATAATATATTTTTAAGGTGAAGTGAACAGGGCCTAAGTCATAAATATTATATTGAAACATTGGTTAAAGCATTACACTAATGAATGTATGTGAGGTTAGAGAAGGTATTGGGTCCGGACTGCCGCACGAAAAAATTTGCGTGCGGTAGGCTTGGCTGATATATTTCACTTGTTGGCTGATATGTTTCATGTGTTAGCTGATATGGTTTTCTGTTGGCTAATATATTCCTTTTGTTGGCTTATATGTATTTTTTTTAATGTTCCTTTTTTTGGCTGCTAGCAAACATCACTTGGCTAATATGTTTCTTTAGTTGGCTGATATGTATATTTTAATTGTTGGCTTATATGTTTCATTTTGTTGGCTGATATGTTTATTTTCTTGGCTTACCTGTTGCTTTTGTTTGCTGATTTCATCTTTTTATTGGCTAATATGTTTTATTTGTTGGCTAATAAATATTCCTTTTGTTGGCTGATATATTCTTTTTATTGGCTGATATATTCCTTTTGTTGGGTGATACGTTTTTATTAATATCTAATATGTCCCTAATGATATGAGACATCAATTTACTAATATGTATATTTAAATGGATGATATGCGTCACTTGTTGACTAAAATGATTAAACATACAAATATTTTCATTTCCTTCAATTTCCTTTTTCCCCCTCTTCATCTCTTTCAAATGAGGTAGAGGAACCTTGAAGATTAACAGATCTCCTCTTCACCTTCCTCCATTTTTTCCCCATTCCTCTTTCTCTCTCCTCTCTCATCTCTCCATCTTCTTCTTCTTCTTCCTCCTTTTCTAGAGAGGGAAACACTGAGAAAGAGTTGCAGAGAGAGGAGAGAGAAAATAGTGTTGTTGTTGAAGCTTTTCTGTTGGTACCCATGGCGAATCAATGGCGGCGCCACCACCACCTCCATCATAGAAACACCGGGATCAAACCACCACCGCTGCTCCCCAATTGCCGCCCAACCCACCACCATCACCGTTCACAAAATCGCAGCCTACACGCAACTCATGGTACCCCAACCACCGCAGCAACACCTTAACCGCAACAACCATTTCCGTCCACCTACAACAGCCATGCAATTCCGGCCAACTTCAAATCGACGGTTCGCGCAAGCAGCAGCAATTCGAACCCAAAAATAGAACAAAATCAGAGCAAAGCAAGAACCCACAAACCCCTTGTATAGATTTTGGGGTTTTCGTTTTTTCTTAGTATTATTTGGGGATTTTGGGGATGTAGATCTAGTGGTTCAATGTGTTTGATTTTGCGGGTGGTGGAAGGATGGATTACCGCTGCCGCTGCCGCTCCCGCTACCTTCTCCGCTGCACAAACTATTGGGTATAGTTTGTGGTCAGGTTATGAGTTCAAGCATTGACGCTCACATTTATTATAGAAATAGATTATTGACAATAATATTAACCAATGTATGACAGCATGAGCATGCGCTATAGTGATCAAATGGGGTTATCCTTATTGATAATTTGGGTTACATACTCGTATTAATAAATAGTGGTTATTACTTTTAAAAGCAAACGTTGTTCTTATCCTCTTAGGGTCAAAATAAGAATACCTTCTTATAAACTTAATCCGGATGGGATCGGATGTGATTTTTTTGGGTGCAAAAATAGGATGTGATTTCAGTAGAAAGACTAGACACTATTAAACAATCCCAAAGTCCCAATTCCAAATCAATACTATCTGTACTAATACCCAAACTCATGATTTTGTGTTTGACCAGCAAGTTACACTATTTAACACACAATCAGTAGTAGCAGCTAGTCTTTAATTGCACATTAAAAGTGGATTAACAGCATCGTTTAAACAAATTAAAGCTAATCAATTAAAATACAAGTGCACTTAAATTAGTACTGTCAATTTTCACATGATCTACAGTCTGTCACTTGCCTCAAATATTCAGACAAATCTGCAGTCAACTTATGCAAAATTTAAGACAGTATCAAAATATTGCAGCTTGCCTTTTTTCTTGCCTTGTACAGTTATACTGGTGTACGCTAGCTAATTAGCTTTAAACTCCAGACTACTAATGCTTCCTTCACTTCCTACCCTTCTAGTTCTGCGGCCAATGCATGCCATTTCGCGTATTTATTGGTTCGCCAGATTACATTACAGGTAGCATAGGGAAAAAAAAAAACACACAATGCTAGGAAGTAATTATTATCTGGGTACATTAACAGATTCATGTTTGTTAGTCCACTTTTCTGTAATCATGAAAACCTTTATAATAAGTCCTTTAACTCTCATTTTCCTTATAATCCTGTCTAGTATATTGAGTCCTTTGCCGGTGGAATCCTGCAATGCCATAGATAAAGAGGCGCTGCTTGAATTCAAGCGCGGCATCAAGTATGACAAGTTGTTACGCCTAGCCACATGAGTCCCTAGAACTGACTGTTGCGTGGACTGGGGTGGTGTGACATGTGATGCTGCCACCGGAAGAGTGGTTCAAATATATGTAGCTGGCTATACACAAGAGTTTGTTGCACCTATTTTCATGAAAGGTACACTCTCCCCTTTCCTTGGCAATCTTACCTATCTTAACCCATCTTTTTTATGCCAACCTACGAGGATTAACTGGTCCAATCCCTCCTCAGCTAGGGAAGTTGTCAGATTTAACCCATCTTTTTCTAAAAACCTCTTAAATGGTTCAATACTCGCATCCCTTGAAAACCTTCATAAGCTAGAACATTTCTCCCTCGCCGAAAATAGCCTCTCTGGCACCCTAACCTATTCAATTTTTCAATCTATGAAGTTACTCTCGATACTAGAACTCCAAAGAAATAAATTAGTAGGCTCGATACCACATTCGATTACACATCTTATTTCACTTAAGCAGCTTGATCTTAGCAATAATGCTTTGTCCGGTGAGGTTCCGACTTCAATTGGTAAACTTAAGCACCTCAACTTTTGACCTATAATGATATTGGCGGAAGTATACCAAATTCCATTGGCAAACTCACACTATTAGAAAACATAATCTTCAGCTATAATAACCTTACTGGACCGATACAAAATTCTGTAGGTGAACTATCCCAATTAAAGCACTTATACTTGGACCATAATGAAATTAATGGAACCATTCCAAAATCTACAGGTGAACTCTTTCAACTGATAAATTTAGACCTCGAAAATAAAAGGATCGTTGGAACTATTCCTTCTTCTATTGGCGTTCTTGCCTCTTTATTACGTTTAAACTTGGGACACAATAGACTAACTGGAGTTATACCGAATTCCATAGGCAATCTTACTAAAATCCAGAAAATAGTCTTAGAAAACAACATGATTATAGGGGAATTGCCACAAACTATAGGACATCTAATTGAATTAAGTGAGATATTGGCCTCAAACAATCAATTTGTAAGACCAATACCTTCAAGTTTTGGCTATCTCGAGTGCCTGACATCGTTAAAATTGTCTTACAATCAGCTCATTGGCCCTCTACCACCCCAACTTGCTAAGCTAGAATCCTTAGACAAACTCGATATATCCTTCAATCCACTCGAGTTGATCGGAATACCAATTTGGATATTCAAGTTAAACCTTGTTGAATTAGCATTCAGTTGCCAGAGTGGTTATCATCCTCGTTCATAAGTTACCTCGATTTATCGAGTAATCAACTTACAGGGAAGTTGCCTACATGGATAAGGAACATGAATTTGGAGTTCCTCAACATCTCTAATAATCGATTCTACTCAACCATTCCGGTTGAATTCAAGAATCTTTACGGCCTCTCAAACCTTGATCTTCACTCAAACAACTTCTATGGTCCATTGGAAGTAATCTTCAATAAAGAAGGTGTGCACTACAACTCTATCGACGTGTCTTACAATAAGTTCAATGGTGAAATTGACAAAAACATAGGTAACATCCCTACTATGCGCTCTATAACTTCCTTGATCTTGTCAAATTACCCATTAGGAGGATCGATACCAAGCTCGATAGGTAATTTACACAAGTTGTGGGTTTTGAAGATGGTTTCTAACCGGCTTACAGGAAGAATTCCTCAAGAACTTGGAAATGCCAAGCAATTGACGACAATTTTGTCATCGAGGCATAGATTGAGTGGAAGTATTCCTAAGAAGGTGTTGAATTTGGCGAACTTGCAAGAGTTTGATGTCTCAAGGAATCAACTAAGTGGAAAAATTCCTCCCCATAATTCAAGTATTCCTGCTTCTGCATTTTCACATAATCTCGGCCTTTGCAATGCTCCTCTCCCTTCTTGTAAAAATTAGTACTCTTTTCGTCCCTTAATTAGATGCCTACTTCTCTTTATTATGTGAGTAATAAATATTGGAAATAGGCATCTAATAAAGGGACGGATGGAGTAATATTTGTTTAGGTTAAAATCTTATTGCCAGATAAGACCAGGCCCACTAAGACAACAACTAGATTGATCGGGATGCAAATAACAGTACAGGTTCAAGGAGTCAAGATAAAAAATATGCAAAGAACGAGCAAAAGGGAATGGGGAGAAGAGACACAGGATGATGACGCAGAAAACCCTAAGGGTAAAAACTGCGGGTGGCTATGAGTCTACCGATCCACTAGGTTGTCAGGTTAAAATGGATACAACTTAGGTTTACAATTTGATAATAATGATGCTTAGGATTGCTAAAGAATACTTAGTTTCTATGAATAATAAGGCTGGGATATTTGTGATGCCTTTGTACAATACTTATTCTCCTATTTATAGCACAAGGATTAATGCGAAAAGCTTCAACGGCTCCATTCCGGATTCCATGGAATCTGGGGATAGTGGGTTGAGGTAGTTCCTACTTCCTCGCCCATATCCTTGAGGACTTATCCGTTGCAGTTTGAACTAGTCTTCATCAACAGTTAGCTGATGTTCATGGTTCCAATATCCTTGGCAACTACTCTTTGACTTGTTCAATTTAAGATACCCTTGGAATATTCCTTGAAAAAGTCTTTACTTGACTTCGCTTAGAACCTGGGGCTGGATAGCTGATCACATGGTAACCTATAACCTGTAATCTAACAACCTGCGAACAAGTGAACCTGTGATGAAAATTTAGGCATAACAGTTTGCCCCTAACTTGACTATTAGATGTTCTAGTGACTTCTACGAGGCAAGCTTAATTATTCAAAAAGATAAGCTAAGATAAATAACGGAAAATTATTAAAAATCAGAAGATAAATGCAAATTTTCGAATCCGTTGCAAATGATAGACTCACTTTGAAAAGATAACTTTGTGCCGTTAGACCCATTAAATGCGTGTTATAAATAGATAAAGAAGGGTTGTCTCAAGTCAGAATTTTCAAGATAATTTCAAAATAAAAAAATCTAGGGTTTTGTTTAGCGAAAATTCGAGAAACAGATCGACATCGGTACAGCGCAATTTAAGCTGCGATTAACTTGTCAAGCCTGGTGGTGGTATTCGTCCTATAGTTGTGGGTACTATTTGGCGGCATTTGGTTTTGAAGGTCGGTACTATTACACTACAAAAAAAATGTCCATATAGAAACAGAATTCTAGCGACATAATTCAATCCGTTTCTAAATTAGAGACGAAATTCCGTCTCTAAATTAATTTAGAAACGAAATTAAAAAATCCATTTCTAAATTAGAGACGGAATTAAAAAATCTGTCTCTAAATTAGAAATGGAATTGAAAATTCGTCTCTAAATTAGAAACGGATTTTTATTTCCGTTGCTAAATTAGAAACGGATTTTTTTTTTCCGGTGCTTAATTTAGAGACTGATTTTTTTTTTTCGTTGCTATATCAGCAACGGATTTTTAATCCCGTCTCTAAATTATTTTTGAAACGAATTATGTAAAATATTACTTTAGAGACGAATATGTAAACTAAAATCCGTCTCTAAACTAGAGACGGATTTTAAATTCCGTCTCTAAACTAGAGACGGATTTTAAATTCCGTCTTTAATACTACCTCCATCAACGGTTATTTGCAACAAATGTACTTTTCGCAGAGGCCTAGGCAAAACTTTTAAGGCATGATTATTGAAAAATAAGGGCACTTGGTTAAATATTAATCCTACCTAAAAAAAACAATCAAACAAAAGCATATCACCACCGAAACCCAAAACCAAAACCACCGCCACCAACTACCAGAACCACCAAATCCATCGACACTCAAAACCCAAAACACCACCAAAACCACCGAAACCCAACCACGAACCCAGCCTTCACCACCGAAACCCAACCACGAACCCAACAAACCACCAACGAACCAAGCAAACCCAAAACCCAGAATCACCAAAACCACCGACACCCACAACTAACCACCACCAAAACCCACGAACCCACAACCACCACCACCACCCAAACTAGAACCAGAAACCACAACCACCACCAAAACCACTAAAATGCACAACCATCAAAACCAGAACCCACAACCACCGCCCACCAAAACCCACGAATTGAACCACCACGAACCACCAAAACCACACCTAGAATCTCCAAACCCAGAACTACCACCGAAATCCACCAAACCCACGAACCACCAAACCCACCCACAAACCACCCCCACGAACCTATAAATCCACCCACGAATCACGCAAACCACCCACAAACAACCAGATCTTGAATCCACTTAAAGGATGGTGTAGAATTTGATAATGGGAGGTAAGAGATAAAGAAGATGAGGTGCAGTGAGGTGAGAGATTAAGGGGTTGCTATGGTGCGAATTGGTGATTGACAAGGCCGGAATTGCACGACTGCTGTTGGTGGGCGGCAATGGTGGCTTGAGGCAGGGGAATTGGTGTAAAAGGGTGCTCGGTTTGGGTGGCTGAAGGTGTGAAAAGGTAGCGATTGGAGGAAGCAGTGGTGGTGGAAGAAGGAGAGAGAAAAATCAAGGAGGAGAGAGAAAGATGAAGGAGAGAAAGATAATCTGATTATTTAGGTGGGAAGATTTAAATAATTAATTCAAATTAGGGTTATAATGAGTTGTAATTATGTGTAGTATTATGTACTAATAATTTTTAAGTGAGGGTATTTTGGTCATTTTGACAGAAAAATGTTACTAAAATAGGAAAGAAATAAGTTTGTTGCAAATAATAGTTAGCCCCTTTTTTTGGTTATGTTGCAGATAGTTGTTAATGGAGGTAGTATTTCTTTCACTTATTATAAATTATGTGCGTAGAGGTAAAAAAATAATATTTGGTATAATTGGTAAGAGTTTCACTATGTGACTTTGAGGTCACGGGTTTGACTCCTACCTATTGCAATTCTTGAGATTGCGGATTCAAGGAGCCTTACATGCAAGCCAAGTCGGGTTGACCCGAGTGAGGTCGAATCGAATATCATCTACTTTTAGACACAAAATGATTTTTTCCATTACTAAATTTAGAGACAGATTTTTTTTCCCTTGCTAAATTTAGAGAAGGATAATTTTTTCCGTTGCTGATATGAGCGACAGATTTTTTTTTTCCCGTTGCTATTACCAGCGGCAGATAAAATAAATCTATTGCTAAAACCAGCGACAGAAATAAAAATCCGTTGCTAAGTTTAGCAACGGAAAACAAATACAACGTCGCTAGTCTCATTTAGCGACAACAATTTTGTCAACGGAATAATTTCGTTTCAAAATCAGTCGCTACCTATAGGTAGCGACAGAAAAGTACAACCTAGCAACGAATAAGATTTGTTGCTAAATATCTATTTTTTTGTAGTGTAATGGTTGGTCAGTCTTTGGGAAATTACTTTGATAGTCTTCAGTTTGGTGTTGGGGTTTCTTCAGGTGGTGAGATAATTCTTCATGCTGTGAATTGATTGATTGAGGATCGTGGTTCTAATGTTGGTCTTTCAATGTTGTTGGTGGATTCAAAATGCTTTCAATCTAATTGATCGTACGGTAATGTTACGTGAAGTTCGTTGTCGTTGTCCGGCCATTTCGCGATAGGTTGAATTCTTCTATTCTAATCCAGCCATATAGTATTATGGGGACCACACCTTATGGTCGTCTTAAGGGGTACAGAGGGTGATCCCCATGGTCCTCTACTTTTTTCTTTGGTTTTACAACCCATGGTATGTAAAATCAGAGATGCTTTTGAGGTATGTCTTCAGGCGTGGTATTTGGATGACGACACTATTATTGGGGACACTTTGGTGGTGGGGAAGGTTCTGCAGTTGATTATGGAGGAAGGGCCTCGATTTGGGTTGCATCTTAACATGGGAAAAACTAAAGTTTTCTGGCCTTTAGAAGACCCTTGAAGCAGGCTTGTAGTTGTCTTTCCGCCTAATATTGCTCAACCTTTGCGTGGTGTTAAGTTGCTAAGTGGTCTCACTAGTTCGGATTTTGGTTTTAGTGGTGAACTTGTGATGCAAAGGGTGACCAAGACCATTGCGCTTATGGATAGGGTTGCTAAGCTCGATGATCCTTAGTGCGAGCTGTTGTTGCTTAGGGCATGAACCAGAGTTTCTAAACTCTACTTTTCTTTGCGTACTTGTCCTCCAAGTACTTTTGAGGCGGCTCAGCGCATTTTCGACGAGGCTCTTCGATCTTCCTTGGAGCGTATTATTACTGCTTCGGGGCCTGAGTTTGGCGATTGGCAGTGGCGGCTTTCCACCTTACCATTTTAATTTGCAGGGTTTTGTGTTTATTCCGCTGGTGATGTCCATCATTATGCATTTCTTGCTTCTCGGTTACAGTCTGCTAGGTTGCAGACAAAGCTTCTGCGACATGTTGGCATTGTTGGTCTTGGTCGATCCTTTAAGGATGTGTTGAGTCTGTTTAATCGAACGGTGGAGTCTGACATTTTGAGTAATCCTAGCGAGGTCGCTACCCCTAAACTCATGAAGAAATTGGCATATATATATATATATATATATATATATATATATATATATATATATATATATATATATATATATATATATATACATATATATTTCACAAAGGTTACCACTTCTGTAGAATCCACATTTTCTTATCTCCTCGACAATAAGCATTGTGGAAATCGCAGCAGGGAGATCATACCTCTGGTTGGCTTCGGGCGGTTCCTATATCGGGGTTGGGTCAGACAATGAACGCAAAGACTTACCGATGTGTGTTGTGCTACTGGTTGGGTATTCCATTGTTCAATGTCTCGACGTCATGCTCTGCTTGTTTAAGGGTTTTTACTGGGGATATTTTCGGTGATCACGTGGTGTCGTGTGCTGGTATTGTGGGTACTAAACATCTGCATAATGTTGTTTGGGATACTCTTTGTTGATGTTTGCTATAGGTCTAGGATTTCAGCGAGAAAGGAGGTTG